TCTTCTTCAAAGAGTGGAAAAACGTATTTTTAGAGATAATCTTCCTAAACATCTGTTCAATGTTAAAAAAGAATATACTGGGTATTTTAGTGTGTACTTTCTCAATTTCAGGAAAATTATAATACTTAAAAATTAAGTAGACACTTGAACACAAGTTCCAATACATTGGGAATTTCATCACCACTAAACCCCCCAAGCAGACAAAGAATAGCTATTAAACTTTTCCCATCCACCAGCTGTAGCTGTAAATCACTGTAAAATAGCTGTGCAGTACCCAGTAAACACCACAGAGATAGACATACCTTGCTGCTGATTATTGCTGAATAGCTAAGGCTCTTCCGTTTACTAATACAACCATGTAATTTATTAAATGCAAACAGATGAACAATAGCAACGATCTGCTCACATGCCCTGGTGAAGACTTATTCTTCTAGAACTTGGAGAAAAATTACCATGACTTAAGACAGCAGATGACAATTGCTATGTCATAACTTCTTTCATAACATATTTCTGCCTGTGGAGTTTCCCAGAGGAGGTGAATAATATTAATAAGCGTGTGGATGGAAGAAAACTGAAAGTAGACTCTTGCTAGATCCAGTTTTTGTTCTCTTCTCCTTCCGTATAGGATCACACTAAATGGTAAACGGGTGGACAAGTGGCGTTAGACGGGGTCCCTTATGAGTTCACACAGCTGCGACGTTGGGTTGGACATTTTCATTTTATTTTAGAGCTGTACTTGTTTCTATGAATAGCAATATTGTTCTTAAAATTTTTCTCACTGGAAAATTTACATAATGTGAGAAGTTGTCAGATACCATCAAACATTGTTTGAGTCTCTAAACTCTTAACTATTGAATGTTAAATCCAGGAAAGTTCATTTATTTTGTAAAAGAAAACTCTGTAAATAACTTTTGAGCGGGCATCTGAAAGGTGATAAAGTTATAACCTGTAGAATTAAAAAAAAAAAAATCTTCAACTGTAAACAGAGGATGGAATGACTCCTAAAAATTCTCTTGGTACAGGACGCCGCTGCTCTGGGTGTGTTGTTTATTGTCCTGTATTTTCATTTAGTTTTTCTTTTATCTAAATTCTCATTCTCTCAGCCAAATCGGGTTCTCCTACACGGGTTTCTTATTTCTGTAAATGACATCATCTTTGAGATCTGGCATTCTTGTCTCTTTTTATGATCCATATTTACTTAGTTTCCACTTTAGTTTAACATTTCCTAGTTTTTAATGTCTACTTTAAATTTAATCATCCTTTGCAGCATAACATTTAGCTATGTTTTAAGGACCATAAACTTACATTTTTACGAGCGCCTCCTAAATGACACCTCTTCTTCCAATTTCCCTTTCCTCAGTCAAACTCCATAGGAAAAATAATAAATATTAAAATTGCCCTCATTATTGTTCTTCTTTTTTAAAAAAATTTGTCAGGTACGGAGTTTCCGGATTAAGCCCAAACTCTTTAAACTGGTTTCAATCCCCATCTCCCTCACTCACTTGAAATCTGATGATCATAACCTACTTTTCCTGCCTTATATATATATATATATCGCTTTCTTTAGAATTATTTACTTCTGCCAACTACTTCACTCAATGAACCTTCCCATCATGCTCTTTTTTCTTTCTAATCTTTACTCATTTCCAAACCTCCACCATCCTTTCAACTGATAAGATTATTACTTGAAATATGTTTTTATCAGGATGTGCAAAGAATAATGTTGGTTGACATACCAGTTATTCAAAAAGTTCTGCATGCTTGCATTTGCTCTGTTTTTCTCTATTGTATAAGAGAAATTATCTACTTCAAAAAAATTATGAAGTAATCTTATATCTTCTTGTTATGTATTGAATTATGTCCCCCCAGAATGTGAGTAACAATTTGGCTGAGCCATGACTCCCAGTATTGTGTGGTTGTCCTCCATTTTGTGATTGTAATTTTATGTTGAAGAGGATAGGGTGGGATTGTAACACCCTTACTAAGGTCACATCCCTGATCCAATGTAAAGGGAGTTTCCCTGGGGTGTGGTCTGCACCACCTTTTATCTTACAAGAGATAAAAGGAAAGGGAAGCAAGCAGAGACATAGGGACCTCATACCACCAAGAAAGCAGTGCCAGGAAGAGTGCATTCTTTGGACCCGTTCCTGCAGTGAGATGCTCTCAGACCAAGGGAAGACTGATGACAAGGACCTTCCTCCAGAGTTGACAGAGAGAGAAAGACTTCCCTGGAGCCAGCGTCCTGAATTAGGACTTCTAGCCTACTAGACTGAGAGAATAAACTTTGCTTTGTTAAAGCCATCCACTTGCGGTATTTCTGTTATAACAGCACTAGATGACTAAAACATATTCCAAGAAATGAAAAAAGAAATACACATTTTGGCTTTTCACAGTAGCCAAAATGTGGAATGAACCGAAATGTCCGTTACCAGATGAATGGATAAAACAAAATGTGGTCTATACACACAATAGAACGCAGCCGTAAAGATCAATGAAGTCCTGGTGCATGCCAGCCACGACATGGATGAACTCTGAAACCACACGGAGCCAAACAGGTCTGTCACAAAAAGACAATTCCTGGGTGATCTCACTCACACTAAACAAGATTATTCGAGGTTACCAGGGGTGGGAATGATGGGGAAAGAGGGAGTTCCTGCTTAGGGGGCACTGAGTTTAGGTTAATAGTGATGGAATCATTTGGAAAAGGACAGAGAGGATGGTTGCACAATGTGAAAAATGTAATCAGTGTCACTGAATCATACATGGAGACATTGTGGAATTGGCTAATGTTTTGCTGTGTATATTTTCACAACAATTAAAAAAAAGAGTCTGTGGATGTGGAAAAAAAGTACTTTTCCTTTCAGTACACTTTTCATATTGCACTTTGATACCCATTCCTTTAAATATTGCTTTAAACATTGAATAATGAAGTGATAGAACAACTTAGATTTAGTACAAAAAGACAAAGCAAATTCTTTCCTCAACTGATGTTCTCTTGCTTGCCCTCCACCTCTACCCCATCCCATCACTTTCACATTAAGGCAAAACACCAGACTATGTTTGAAGCATTAGTAGAAAAGAAAAACAATGTAGTATGCACATTAGAACATTAATTGAACTCTCAAAGATTAAAATGTTTAAGAGGTTTATTCTCCTTTTGTCAAGCAATTTCTACAGACAGAACATCCACATGGTGTAAGCTACCAAAGAAGAATGTATAAGACAGACGAATATTAAGTCATTAAGTTACAGACACTTTATAATGGTTCATGTTCACAGGGAGAAAACTGCTAAAAAGGAAAGCAGATTCAGGAACCAGAAACATAAGCTGATTTTCCTTCTTTATTAAATTTACGCCCCATAATGTTCCCTCAAGCTAAGAAGAAATCTACTGCATCCCGTAGCTCAGGATGCTATACACACAGAAGATATTACACACTATAAAATTTTAGGTTCCTAAGCAGTTTTACACAATTTAAACTTGAATAAAATTTGTGTTTAAAAAAGACTTAGTGGATTGCCTTCAGTAAATGGAGGTCATTTCAACAGTCCATTAGCATTTTTTAGCAACATAAAGACAAAAAAAGAAAAACAAGGAAAACATTCTCAAAGCATATAAACTATTACTTTAAGCCTGGATAATTATCTGCTTATTTCAATAAACCAACTCTAGTTTTAACCTACTTGTACTGGCTTTTTTTTTTTTTTCTTTTCCCATAAAATAAAGCATTATGTTTTACTTCTACACAGTGTCTCATGAGAGGATTAGTTAGGTTTCAAACTACAGCACACAGTGAGAAGATCGTCTAAGGATTATGTAGGGGTGGAATGGAAGAAGCCATTTAGGAAAGTTAGCAAGGAATGGAGTTCTTTGATAGGTCATATTTAAATAGCAAAGGCAATGGAGAGATACATCTTTACTCACTGCTGTGGGTCTATCCCCTTATTCCCAATTTCTGTTGCTAATTGTCCCAATTTACTAATATCTCCTCAGTTCTCCAGCCAGTGTTTTCTTTTTTCCTCCCTGGTGTCAATGTCTCTGTACGTGATAGAGACAAGCAGATACAAGTGCTGTTTCATTTCCTTTTAGAACTGAAAGTTCCCGATGATGCCACACTGGGCTGTGTGAAAAGAAAGAATCCATTTTGCTAATAAAAAAGTAAACATTTGTAAGTAGTTGACATCTCAGACAAATCTGCATTAAAAATAGACTCCAGAGATCAAAAGCAAACTGAGTAGAGAAAGCATTGCAAAAAATAACATAGATATTTTTCCTCCCTTCCTCCTCATTTTCCAGAGCATGCTGCAGATTATACAGCAAATGTCAAAGAGAGTTTGTCACCTGTATACAACCTAAGGCCAACTTATGCCTTCAGATAGCATTTCATTGAGGCTTAAACAAATGAGTGAAGGCCGGATTTGACGCAAGAGATGTCAATCTTTCCTCTTTCAATGACAAGCAATTTATAGTTATGAGGGTGTTTGGGATGAGCTTTTAGCCTTCTTTTTCCTCATGTGACATTCCCTTCAAGGCACAAAATATTACAAACAGTGGATAGGACATAATATTTTGAATTAAGAATTTTAAGGTTCCACAACACCTTTTATTTCTAGTTTAAGCATACCAAGGACAAAGAAAAAAAAAAAAATAGGTAAATTACCCTCAAAATGAAGTGGTTCTTAAGTCATCTGAAATTCCCTGCAGTTTACTTATTTGTTAAGAATTTAAAATCCTATTTTATTGATTTAAACATAATTATAGATTTGATTCCTTTGATTGATGTAGTTTCTCATTAAATATTGTATTAAATATTTCTAATCAATCCATATTACTAGTAGTGTATGTTTTTTGCAAAACAGAAAAATCTAATTTATTTGGGCCAACCAACTAACTTATGTTTGACTAGGATATAAACTTTGAAAGTTAAGCTGTAAATTTAAACAATGGATTAAGTGCAATGTACTGTAAAACTCTTTTTCAATAATTATCTAATAGGGCCTTAGGCATCTCCAACCCAAATGACTGTATTCCCTTTCTCAACTTCAGTGATCTCACAGTTTAACTTATTGAGCCGTCCATCTAGGATAAAGAGAGAGTCCTTGGAAGCTGTCATCAGGTACTGACCAAACAAGCCGCTGTCCTGGATTTGCCTGTTCTTTCCGTTCCAAGGCCAGTCTTCCGCCTTGAGGGGTTCCTTAAGGCTCTTGATCATCTTAACCTTTCCAGAGGCGAGCTCCACGAAGAGCACATCAGTCTGCGTGCTAGAAGTACCGTAGATGTTGTACTGGTTGGCTTCAGTAAAGGATGGCTGAAATGCCACATCAGAGATGTGCAGATTGGTGTGAATGTCAAATGCCTCCTGTATTTCTCCTCTGATGGTGATGTACTGGACCCTCACAATGCCTTTCACATCATTAGTGCTGACAAGATAGTGTCCGTCCGGGGAGACATACGGCGTGCCCGTGACATCACTGTTGACTCCAATGACTGAGTCAGTGACACCATCCACCACGAGCTGTGGGGGAACGGCCCCGGCGCTGTCAGGTTTGCAGCTGATGAAGTAGTATCCTCCCAAGTGCGTATAGGCCAGTGACTGAGGAACGCACTTATAGTCGTTCAGGTTAATTGTCTTGATGTACGACATGGTTTCCAGATCGATTTTTTGTAGTGCAGCTTCATCTTTATGAAGAATAAATCCAAACCTGCAAAATGGACACCAAAGTTAAACAGGAAACTCAAGAGTGTTTAGCATAGAAAATGCATGTGGACAGGTGCAAAGGGCCATCGAAGTCCAGGGAATCATTGTCGGGCTGCGCAGCGATATGTGTCACGAGCGTGGTAGAATTAAACTTTAAACTGTGCCGCCCTCCTCCTTTCTCTAGGTTATTCTTTCATTGCTTCCAAACAATAATAACTCATGCTGTAGAAAGCAGAATAATTAAAAACAATATATCTAGTTAATTGGAACAACACATTTTGCTTTTAACACAGAAGAGGAAAAAGTGAACATTGTTTTGTACGTGTATAAACCGTCTGAAATTGAAAAATCTTAGTTAACTGCTACGAAACCCAGCAAGGAAACCCTGGTGGCGTAGTGGTTAAGAGCTATGGCTGCTAATCAAAAGGTCAGCAGTTCGAATACACCAGGTGCTCCTCGGAAACTCTATGGGGCAGTTCTACTCTGTCCTATAGGATCGCTATGAGTTGGCATCGACTCGACAGCAACGGTGTTTTAAACCCAGCATGCATAAGAGGCTTCATCCATTTCATTCACTTTATTTACTCTTTATATTGTTTTAAGACCATCAAATTAATCTGACACACATCGCTATCTAGATAATTATCCAAATGTTTCTCATTTTAATTTGCATCAAAGGATTACCTTAACAGAAGCAGTTTTTTTTTTAAATATATATAACTATTAGGCTTCTATTTATTACATTTTAGATCACCTTGAGTAACTATTTTTATGATTTAAACCTTCGTTTTATATTTTAAACACAACGTTTTTCCGCCTTCCCACATTACTATCATTTTTAGCCATATACCTGCATTGCGTTGCTTCTCTTACACTTAACAATGAAGAATGATGATTTATAGTATTATTCTATTAAAACCAAATTAAAAATGAACATTACTCTGTGTGTGTGTTCTTTTTTTAATGTTTATTGTTGGTGGTGGTGGTGGTCTCTATAATTACTTCAGTGCTTTTCAAAGCATTTGCCCTAAATGCTGGTTACAAATTAGAAGCTCTTGGAGAAGGTATAAATATATTTTAAAACCCTGACCCATAATATCAGTGATTTCCTAGCAAAAATAAGTCAAATAAGAGAAAGTAAGAGAGGAATTTCTGAATGAAGTCATATCAGAATTGGATATTGATTAATAGAACTGTGAAGGACTTTTGTTTAGATTTAGGTTAACAATATTGATTAAAACACCTTCTAATATTTCAAAAGTTCCATAAAAATAATTATCAAAGATATCTCATTGCATTGACTGTGCCCGTAAATGAATAAATAAAATGACCTTATTTTATTAAAATAAAACAAAAGAAACAAAAACCTTAAAGATAGCCAATTGTGTTACCATAACAGGTCAGTTTAATTTCTAGGAGCCCTGGTGGCGCCGTGGTTAAGAGCTCAGCTGTGGTTAAGAGCTCAGCTGCTAACTAAAAAGTTGGCAGTTCAATCCATCATTAGCTACATGGAAACCCTATGGGGCAGTTCTACTCTGTCCTAAAGGTCAGCCATGACTCAGAATTGACCTGATGGCAACGGGTTTGGTTTTGATTTTTGGAATTCCTACACAAAAAATTATCTGTGTAACCTCATATCTTTAATATCACAAAAAATAGAATTAAATAAATGTTCTAAAATATCAGTCTTGTGTTTTAATTGGTAATTTGGAAGACAGTGCATAAGCACAGATATTTTATTAAAATAAATAGATATAAATTCCTTTAAGACATATATTGTCAAATACAATGCATGGGTGATTTATAATATGTATATAAAAACTGTCACTGCTTCCATTTTATTACATTACATATATCTGAGAAATTGCATTAGAATTTTAGCTATATTTCAACATTTTTAAGAGCTTGTTTGTTGTCATTGAAGAGTGTACAAATTTTTTCATATGAAAGAATTACTACAATTTATAGATACTCATTTAAAAATCTTTCACAAATGTTTATTGAACGACTACTAAATGCAAGGCACTGGGAATATAACGGAGAATATACATCCTTCTGTCTTTAATAACTTTAGAAATTTTGCGTGATAATAAATTGATAATGTTAACAGTGAATGCTTACTTACCATACTTATAGGCTGTATGTTAACATGTGCTTTCTGCTCTACTCATCCTTAATTTAATAACTATGAATCTTTTCCATAGATTTCTTTGAGGTGTCATAATATAATAACTTTGGAAGTAATATATCTGGTGTATCTCAAAATGACATCCACTACTTCTGGCTTATTTCCTTTTCCTATGTCCTAACAAGTGTGTTTGTGTTCTTCCAGTAAACACAGCTCATATCACACCTACTCAGGATAAAATTGTAGTCCTGATTACGATGGTAGGAAGAAGCATTCATATTCTAGAAATCACTTCTAAATATTCCCATTAAAGTATTAATGCCAGGAGCAGGAAGGTACCACAGGTTGTAAATACTATCTGAACACTAAAGAATTAAAGAACTCAAACTGTCAACTGTGTCCCATGCTACTGCGTGTCAGCATCAAATGTGTCAGACAAATCGTAGGTATTCCTGTCATATTTGTCCTAATAATTAATTAACTCCATCTGTTGTGAAGGAGTAATTTTCCATTAGTGCAAAATCAGTAAGGATACACAGGTAATGTAGATGTCAATGTCTACGGTTCTCTAGCATATTTATGAAATCATAAATGATCATGGCAGATATTGTCCTTTTTTCTGCTATATATTTTACATGTGCTCAGAGGTAAAGCAGCAATAAGCACATTTAATAAAGGCAATAAGCCAATCAATGTTTGGCATTTCAGCTCCCCTCTCAACCTTGAGTCTTCTGGTCCCTTTGGACATTGGTACTGAATGGTAATGAGGAAGAATGAGACAAGCTCTCTCTAACTATTGCTGAACTATTTTAACTCTGATACTGAAGAAAGTACTCAAGTTTTTTGTGATAAAATCCAGCCACTTTCAGAAGTAATTGAAATTTTTAAAAAATGGTCTGGTTAAAAATGCAGAAACTCCTGGCAGGGTGATAAAATTACACCTATTTTGACATCCATGCTGTATGCTCCTTTAGGACTAGAGATCTAGCTACATAAGCAGATACGTGAGAATGCCGTCAATTTTTCACCACTGATTTATTGGGTAGGCAGCAGTGTCTCTAATTCAAAATTTCCCCCTAGTACAGATTGATATTCAGAAGTCTCACTGTTCATTAGTCTCTGATTAATATTTACGAGGCTTTCAACTTTCATGCCTGCTTAATATAATAAAATCCTGCACAGTGCTAGGCCTAAATTAGTTTGCCTAATATTTGTCAGAATGTGTATAGGAAGATGCAAACAACAAGAAATGGAAGTTAAAACTTACTCTCAGAATAAATTTTACTAACAAATTAATTCAACAAGAAAATGTGGCCTGTAGGCATGGCATCGTGTGGATTTGTCAGATTTGGTTAGGAGAGTAAGCACTTTTTTTTCCAACTTACTTTCTTCTGAATACATCATCATTCTAGATCATCATGAAGTTTCTTAAGGGGTTCAACTTTAATTGTTGTTCTTATTTTATAAGGTGAGGTCATGAAATGATTTATACCCAGAGAACTTGTTGTTTTGGATGAAGTAAGGGCTTTTAATCCAGGTAAATTTGATTTTATAATCCAGTTTTTCAAGGTAGTAGATATTTGACTTTATGTAAAGTTGTTAACTTCCATGAATTTCAATTTCCTTATCAGCAAAAAGATGACAAAACTATCACCTTGTTTCGAGGGTGACAGCTAATGTGAGTATATTACCAGGCACACAGTAGATTATTAATAAATAGAATTTTTTAGTGCTTTACATCTTAAGTAGCATCATTTTCCCACTATGGATCACCTTAAATATTTCCTACAGGACCGCAGATTATTAACATACTCCATGAACCAAATAAATCCAACTATGGTCAGCTGATCCTTGACAAAGGAACAAAGTCCATTAAATGGGGAAAAGAGAGTCTTTTTAACAAATGGTGCTGGCAAAACTGGATATCCATCTGTAAAAAAGTGAAACAGGACCCATGCCTCATACCATATAGAAAAACTAACTCAAAATGGGTCAAAGACCTAACTGTAAAACTTAAAACGATAAAGATCATGGAAGAAAAAATAGGGACAAGGCTAAGGGCCATAATATATGGCATAAATAGAATACAAACCATAATTAACAACGTACAAACACTGGAAGATAAACTAGACAACTGGGAGCTCCTAAAAATTAAACACTTATGTGCATCAAAAGACTTCACCAAAAGGATAAAGACAACCTACAGACTGGGGAAAAAAGAAAATTGTTAGGACATATCTGACAAGGGTCTCATCTCTAAAATCTATAGAATACTTCAACACCTCCAGAACAAAAAGACAAATAATCCAATTAAAATTGAGCAAAGTATATGAACGGACACGTCATCAAAGAAGACATTCTGGCAGCTAACAGATACATGAGGAAATGCCTGTGATCATTAGCCATTAGAGAAATGCAAATCAAAACGACAGTGCAATACAATCTCACCCCAACTTTACCGAAGCTAATAAAAAAAAAACAAAAAACAGAAAATAACAAACGTTGGAGAGGTTGCAGGAAGATGGGAACTGTTAAGCACTACTGGTGGGAATGTAAAATGGTACAACCACTATGGAAAACAATATGGCACCTCCTTAAAAATCTAGAAATAGAAATACCATACGATCCAGCAATCCTACTTCTAGGAATATATCCTAGAGAAATAAGAGCCATCACATGAATAAACGTATGCACACCTATGTTCATTGCAACATTATTCACAACAATAAAAATATGGAAACTTCCTAAGTCCCTATCGACAGATGAATGGATAAACAAATTACGGTAAATACATCCTTAAAGTAATTGCAGTCAAGCAATAGAGTGCTTATAATTGTAGCCATGACTTTCAAAGAGTGTTTAGGGAACCTCTTGAA